GAGTCTTGGAAGAATCCACAGACAAAGGATCACCTGCATATCTTAAGATATGTCATTATTTTTCTGATGCTCCACATTCTCATTCCTAAGAATTCTCTCCACAGGAATTCTACCACAGTAATATTTTTCTATAATTCCTAAATTACAAGGCTTGGTGTTTTCTCACACACAGAGAACCAGGAGCAATATCTTTTTCTTACTCCCCGGTAGACCCCTGGGGACATGGGGCCTTTGGGTCCGGCTGGGAGGTGGGGCAGGAAGGAGGGGGCTGCATGCTCCCCCTACCCTGTGCTTTCAGACACCTGAAACCCCACAGCTGTAGGTCTGGGTCTGCAGAGATAAAAAAAAATTTGATAATTTTTTTCTTAGATTTTATTTACTTGACAGAGAGAGACACAGAGAGAGAGGGAACACAGGCAGGAGGAGTGGGAGAGGGAAAAGCAGGCTTCCCGAGGAGCAGGGAGCCCGATGCGGGGCTCGAACCCAGGAACCGGGGACCATGACCTGAGCCGAAGGCAGACGTTTAATGACAGAGTCACCCAGGCACCCCGACAGATTTCTTGTTACTTATCAGGACCTGGACGTCTGATTCAGTAAATCATTAAGCGTTTTGCTCTCACATGAGTCTTCCTGGCCATAATCAATTCTATTCCAGTAAAAATCTTTGAGATCCTTATATCTAAAGGCAGGATCAGGACCCTGGGGGTTTATAAAGGGTATCACCATGGAGAAACATCCCTCAGGGGTGAGGGACAGGGGTCCCATAGGCTTCATTTTTGGTCCTGGGATGAGGCTGATGCTCAGGAATCCCAGGGGAAATCTCTTGTCTCCATGGGGAGCTCAGCCCCCCATCACCTCTGGGTTCCAGTCAGGGCCTGAGGCTGATCGGTACCTTGATTCTGGGACCCCAGGCTCAGTGCTGCTCCCTTGGAGCTCAAGGCCCATGGGGGACAGGAGACACACCCTCCCTGTGCTCTCAGCCCCGGGCTGTCCCTCCCTCAGTCACCCCATTGACACCTCCAGCCAGGCTGCACTCTGATGGAAAGTCTTCTGTCCCAACCCAGGGCCACGGGGCCTGTGACCTCAGGGACACCTTCCCCCTTATCTCCACATTGACAACACTCACATGTGGGACCGTTGACAGAAACTTCTGGGTCCAGTGACCTTGTGTAGTAGTCATGGGTGGCTGAATGAATAAAGGGTCCGTCCAGAACATGCTGGGCACAGAGCAGGGACTAGAGCTGTTCTCACCCCAGAGAGTAGTCTGACCCCAAATCGCTCCATCCTGGAAGTTCTCTCTGTGTTTGGCAATTTTGTCAGCACGATGTTTCTGAGTTCATGGCAACAGGCCGCTCAGGGGTTTCACTGGGCACCGCGTTGACCTTTCCTACCTGGGAGACCAGACACATGGTACAAATAAGTGATTTTAGACAAACAATATAAACCCGTATTCCCCTGAGAACACAAGGCATTTCTGTACCACTGTCTTCCACCCAGATTCTCTCTGCACTAAGCACAGATTTGGGGAAAGTACACTCCTGATTGTACCTGTATCTTCACACTGACATTGTCGTTGAGTGTAAATCAATCTTCCTGAATAGAATTACATATAAAATAACACACGTTGATCTTCAGTACGAGGTTGTCTCCGTGGTGACTGACACATAAACTCTGT